CACTACTTCAACCTTCAAATTAATAACATCCAGTCAAGTTAAAAAGGCTGAGAGGAATAGGCGTTGAATGTCCTATTAGCAGATTATTCTGTATAACGCCTGAAGCACACCACGAGACCCGGCCCTTAACCTTCAATAGACTGATAATCTTTTTAGCTCTTTAATTAACCGAACGCTTTAAGTTATTGAATTTTGATATTTGCAAAGACCTTGGAGTCAAATAAGCTACCCACCCTTTGCTTCATGCATATCTGCCTAAATCAAACTCAAATGTTTCTACGAATCTAAACATTTCGCCTGGAGATGTCGCCTGTAAGTTTGACCTAGCTGCTCTACTAGTTTGTCTAAGTCTGCGGGGAGCAGCTTTATACATAGAAATCCCGAGTTACTAAAATTCCTTCAAGTCTAAGACCAATTACACCAAGGTCACTAGAAATGAAAATTCGAATTTGCATCCTTCATATTTAATCCATCGGCCTCTTAAATTGGAGATCGAGAGGAATTTCCTAATGYATTAGAAAACAGACGGCTCTGTGCTCAACCTATCCCTTGGTTTGTATCGTACGAGGTGAGATGTCTATCAAGAGTCGACAAGATCGAATCATCTCTCCGAAAATTCTTTCACAATTCTCCACAGATACCGTAACATGATCATGGAGTCAGATTTCCGGTGTACAATTCATGTTTTGGTACTTATGCTTGTGCGTCGTCAAGCCTGATTTAGATGCGCTGTGACGAACGACTGATGAGGTAGTGTGCTTTTACTATGGAGCCAGAGTTGTTCTCTCCTGAAGGAGAAAGAGTAATAAGTACCATCTTCGAAGCACACGAAATGGAAGAACTCTTATACCAAGACAGCGAAGATAGCTTTACTGTTTGTTCCGAAAAGGTATTTAGAAGTCACTAAAATTACTTTCGTGTTGTCGTCCTTTGATTTTCTCAATCGTCTTTTTAATCCTGTTAGAAGTACTTAGCTTAATATGAGTTGTCTAGGCCAGATGTTTTACGGCAAACTGTCCTGGAAATTTACTTTTTCGTTCTCCAGTTATCTGTTCCTCACAAACTGAACCAAATCCGAATACTGCACTCAAAGAATCTACCATTATTCAACTTCTTCCGGTGCTATTTCGACTGCAAAACCTTGGACGACACTCTTCTTTCAGTTCTTCATTCATCAACTACTTATTTTAAAATCGTTTTATGCTTTTAAAGTTTATTTATTATTATTATTTTCTCGAGTTTAAAGTTGCTGCTAAACTGGAAATCGATATGCCACACACGACCGGCATGAGATGCTAAACCTTGCACTGCCTTATCTATGATTTGCTCCGCTTTACAAGATACCTTTGAAAGACACCAAAGATGAGAATACACAATTATGCTTCCATTGGTTTTATAAATGTAGATCTTAAAAGCAACTTTGAAATTCAGAATTCTTACTCAAATACTTCAAATTACATCGATATCTCATTCCAAGAAAAAAAGCCAAAAGTATCAAGTTTCTTAAGGAAAACAATGTTGAAAGTGTAATCGGAAGATCATCTTGCTCTTTAGGAAAATCTYTTATGATGCGTTGGAAAATGTTCCACTGCCGTAGCAAGATTTCTCGTTTATTATTGCAAATCGTACATTTATTCGTATTTGTAGGGAGAAAAATACGTCAAAATAACATTGGCACTGAAATATTGCAGGAAGTCTTTATGAAAAGAGCTTCACGATTTTTCTTTTCTGTCTTCAAAGATTGCTACCATGAAATGATAAAATCGGGCAACTGCAGTACACTTCACACTACAGACATGTTACGTTCAGTACCAGATTCRTGCGTTCGTGCCAATCCGATAAATACTTTCGTTGAGTCAATTAAACTTAACTCAATCAAGAAACCAGACTACAAAATTGAATTAAGGAACGGTCAAGCACTCTAGGAAGTTGTTAGTTCATCTTTGTGCTAGCTATAGAACTGGTGCACTTCGCAATTCCACRAACATCATTGCCAATTTTTGAGCTCTGTTTGTCTTTCATCCCACACACGGTTGTCTCAACTGACGTTCAAAGAWATATCGATTAAATCGCCTTCCTACACCTCTCTTCCTTTCTCAGCATTTCAAATATTTTTCTCATACTTGCCTAAGATTATTTAAGAGCGGAATGTAATTCCCGCCCCCCCCCTCCCCCCTGGGATGTAATTATGGTCCAATTTTGGAAAACAAGTCGATTGCGAAAATAGTCAAGTAACTCCTGGGAGAAAAGCAGCATGAACTAGTGAGCTCATATATTCCAATTCTAGGAGGATTTCTCTCTTAACTCGGCATCTGGTGTTCGCTGTACTGTTACATTAGCTCCCCTGCACGCAGAAAAGCATTCTAAAGATAGCAATAGTGATACTGTGATGAAAAGATCTGTCATCAATTCATAGTGTTATAATTAAAGTTTATATGTAATAACATGCAAGGAAAGCAATTCAGGTCACGTGGAAGACTGTGTCGGAAGCAATGGGATGAAATCCCGCTSTGCAGTGATATCTAAGACCGCAGGCTCTAGGAACGTTGTTGACTCCTAGACAGTGAGCACGCTGTGCAGGTACACTATCTAAATCGACGTCCTAGAGCGATAACTACATTTTTCCTCGTACTAGGAAAGATGCGTTTTGTACTCTCGATAAAAGACACATGGTGATTTTCATGTGAAAGCTTTGCTTAAGACTAGACGGTTACAGAGTTACAAATGTTAATTTCTTTTGCCTGAAAATGACGTATGTTGGCTTTTTCCCTTTTTTTTTTCTTTCTTTCCATTTTTTCTTTCGTTTCCTTTGAAATTTTTCCTTCAGTTTCTTCTTGCTTAATTTTTTTACCCTTCTTTGCTATTTGGCTTCTATTCTTTTCGATGTTATTTTTCTCGTTTTCTTCCTTTTTTCTCGTATCAGTATTGCATACTGAAACCCCTTATCTTTCCTCTTCTTTTCTTTTCAGATCTCTTTCCCTTTTTTCTTTTCTGTCGTACGTCTTGTCGAAAGATGAAATGTACAAGTCGTACAATTATTTTAATAGCGAAACGGGATTGATATTTYCAAGATGGCRTCTGTTTTGTCCCCTWGAACATTCCCACAATGCACTGCAATGCCACGTCGATCAAGTATTTTTCCTCAACWTAAGAATGGCTAATTAGAGCGTTTTTCGCATGAATGGGGAACGGTCCGTATCTTACCCAAGCCGTAGATACACGAAGCCAGATACACGTGATTGGTTGAAGATTGGAAAACAATGGAAAGCCATTTCAATGTTACGGCATGTCGTACCGTGTACGAAAACTGCTCTAAAAATTGATTGAAATCATTAGTAAAGCCATAAGGGGCATGGCTTCCAAGTGGGAGAAAATAAGTCTAACAATAACGCACTAGCAGGGGTTCCGTGATTTTTCTTGTACTTCACGTGGCTCATGTTTCTGTCACGCAACTATGTCGGGCATTCACAGTTGTTATTATTAGAATTCCGATTATCGACCGGATGTACAGCATTTCTATCGTTCGCTCGACCAACGAGTTCTCATTGTTACCAAAATCTCCGTAACGTGACAATCTATTTTGAAGAGATTTTCAAAACAATAGCAGATAAGAGTGATTTTAATCCATTCACAGTTGGATATTTAGAACCTTTTTAAAGGAGGGAATCTACGTCTCACTTATTTCCGTCGTAGCTTTGTTTAGGATTAGAAGAACGCTGACTTCGATGTAAAACATATGTAAACAGATCGGTATTGTCACATCTGACGTCGCTGATGGCATGTAATTTACGCTAAACAAAAGTCCCACTTCTCTTCGCTCTGCACCAGTAGATTCTAGGCCTCGCTACGGAATATTGCAGGTCAGACCGCTTAGAACGTGGACGGGTTGGTCTGATAGTAGGGATCATTCACACAAAAGATCAAAGARATAAAGCTAGGTCATGTAAGACTGTTATTTGATGCTCACATAGCYTAAAGATCCCGCGTGAAGTAATAGAGTAACTACAAACATTCGCAGTTGTTTACTTGACTTGAAATAGTACAACTACCGTACAACTGTTTAAACAACTTGACGATGAATGGCATCTCGATTCTTCTAATTCTTGTACAGGARACGTAAGTTAAATATCTTTTAGTAGCATAAATCTGACTCGCATTCGCTTCCTTTAGCTCAGAGATTAGATAATTTACTACGAATGAAGCACAATTATTCGAACCATTTAATGCTTATAGTAATTATTAGTTTAGCTAAATAACATCATAGAGTGAAGTAGAATAAGTTAGGCTATGGAGGGTAAGGGTTTCTGAGGTTTGTACGAGGTTTTAGGTAGAGAAACAGCGACTTAAACAGGGTTACTCAAATGGTTTAGTCGCCATTGGCATCTGCAAACAAGATACATGTGAACTCATGTAATCAATATTGAATACAAGCAATTCTTTCTTGCACGTTGCATTCATTAATATTTATCTATAATTATTTATAGGTAGACTACGAGAGAATGGCGAGACAACTTGCAGAAACATTAGAAAACAAAGGTAATTCTATTTTATATTTTTAGATGGRATTACAAATAATTTCGTGTTGGAATTAATTTGTGGCAATGTTTTAATTTATTCGTGTTGTTTGACAAAGTTTTCTTTAATTAACGTGGTTTACTCTTTWATTAACGAACCGAAATGACCGGGAMAACAKGRGTTTATTAGATCAATATATTGYTTGTGGTTAGCAGTTGTAGTTGATCCGTTTAGCTCTTTGACACTTATACGACYGCGACACGAGACTCATTCGTACACATTTTCTCTAAAAAACTCTCTCTTCTCCTKGCTTTGCATTACCTAAAACCTTAAAATACCAACCATAATTACTTATTAAGACGTCGAATTAGCTGCACAGCTGTTTCATTCCGTTTTCCCCTCATAATAGTATTGACATTGAACAAAACAGAATTTTGATTAATGAGGTGAAAAATATCAATCGTGAAGTAAAGTCAGCCGTATCCTAGATAGATTGACATTACGAAACTAGCCAGTACTCCACTATTACGGGTTTAAGGCTTCAAGGTTCTACTTTAAGAATTTAAGCTGTTTGAGGCTTGTTTTTGTCAATTAAGATTCTTACTCGAATTATTAATGAATAGGTTACGATCTTTACTGTCTACGTAATCATATACTTACAAGCTTATATTATATAAATATGATAACATTTACGCCATTTAGGGGAAAAAATCTAACTAAAATGTTGTTTAAAATACTTAACTTTTCTATGTGCCTACTAAAAAATAATCATTGACCAATTATTAAAAAAATTATCTCACAGTATTATTACTATAATATGATTTGACACTTCAGCTGGCAGCTAAATGGCTTTCCTCCGACATGCAGACTTTTAATGTTGCAAGAGTTTGATACTTGTTTTTCTATCTTATCTATATCCCACAGGTTGATACCCAACACCGAGAAAAATAAATTTCCTCTTTCTTAGTCTAGCCATTTTATAATCAATGAATTTTTTTAATTTTTCTATTGAGAAATTTCTTTTTAAACCACTCTTTACCGAACTTTACTAGACTTTTTTAAATATTATGTTTGAAATAACTGTTAAAATACCTGGATTTTATTGAAAAAATATCAAATAGTTTAAAACAAATTCCAGATTTTTATTTCTGGAAACTTAAGATCATCAAAACTCAACGGAAGTAGAATCCAAATATACACTTTTGTTTGCCAAAAAGATTATAAAATAGACTTTATAAATTCTTATCAATAACACTTGAGTTAAATCTGTCAAGACCGAACTTGCGAYAGTAAGTGATCGCTGTAAAATGAGACTTTTCTGTCGCTTCGATTGAGTTGCAAGTATAGAATTTAAAATTTTATTTCGTAAACTTATCAAGTTAAATCTCATTCAGTGTATGATGTATGATTTGAGATGAGATATAAAAAAAATAAACTTTCAAGTTTTTAGTAAAGTTTTAAACGTCTACTGTTTGTTCCCATAACAACCGTTAAGGATTTTGTTTTTCTAATTCGATCTTAGAAGATATTCTCGATACGGTTAATCCTTTATATCTCCTTTCCCACTCAGTGTAATCACAGGCAGCCCAAACAAGGTTCCTGTATATTGTCTATCGTATAGTCTTCGTTCATAATGTATGGCAGAGTGGATGGGGGGGGGGGGGCAGGTGAAAATTTGGTATGTCCAGAATAATTCTTAACACCTTCCCTTAAAGTCATGCAAAGAAATACGATCCCCCCTAAGCAAGGCTTGTAGCTTATTCCAAAAATTGTGCATCCCCCTATTTTTCTGATACAAATTTGCCCATCCCCCCTTTTTCCTACGTAAATTTTCCCGATCCCCCCTCATTTTCACCTGCCCCACCCACCCCCAAAAAAAGTTTTTCATGGATATATTGTATTAACCAAATCCCTATCCGTTGGCCGATAAATGAATCCCCGTAGTGGAGCTTTCCTCTGTGGGCTTTCCCTGCCCTTGTGGCGAAGCGTATAAAATATAAAATAAAAATAAAAACGGTTGCGCACCYGTCTGTTGTATGCGCGGGAGGTCGACTGTCGTACTTGTTAATACATAWAGATAGACAYATATACATATGGTTGAACCTTTACCTTGCTTGGAACACCACAACAACAGTGGTTAACCTAAAAAGGTTTTAAGTGACARTGTAATGATAACCATTTTGGATGACAAATATGGAATCCTCATTCCTGAGATATTCAATCCTTTAAAGCGTTTCGTAATACTTATCATCCTCTATTATACTACACCTGCGTACTTCTGACAAATTTTAGATTAAACGGTTTCTGTCAGCTGAAACTTGCTTATTATTATAAATACKGTTTTTCTAGCGTCCACAGTTAATTGCATAGAACGACCGTGGGCGAGCGAGTGACAGGAGAGTATTACAAGAGAAATCTATCTATAAAAYCTATTCCTATCTTTCGTTTTCCAGAAAGAGAATGGCGACGTCTTAAAACAGACTACGAGAGCTACATCATGTCGTTGAAGGCGAACCAGAAAAAAGACAGCGACGTAGAGGTAAGTCTTGCACCCCCCTGTCCACAACACTTTACTGTTTTCCCATTTCGTTTACTCCTGGGGAGACGTGGATTGTAAAGTGCGATTAAGACAACTTTTTGTTATAGAAAAACGGATTTTTTCCTGGCGTTGGTAATAACAGGGTTATTATTTTGAGCCATTTAAGAATCAGCTGTTGGCAATATGTCTGAACGATTAAACTCATCAATATTTCAAAAAGCTTTAGTAGTAAGTAAATCAGTTTTACGCAGCATGGAATAGCATGCTTTCGACTTTAAATTAGAGAGAAAATTATAGCTCCTGTATCGATTTCCACAATTTTCCCGTCAGAATGTATCAAAAAGTTGTTTGTTAGAAATAGAAATATGTGCCGGAAACGATTTCGAATTTTTAGCTTGCTGCCCTGCCRGGCTGTTTCCGTTACTAAGATTACAAACACGACAACACCAAGTAACTTGCTGTGTGAACTGCTTCGTATACTGTGGGAAAATTACATTCTATCTTATGTGAATACCTTGTCGGAGTAAACCAACTCATTGYGAGATTGCATCAATATTTGTTTTGAAGATAGGCAAGATCTTCCAAACCATTTACGTTTGAATACCCTTAGGGGAGGGGGGTAGGGTAATTACTTTTATAGATAGAGGGAAGGAGTGGTTTGTCACTATATGGCCTGGTATGAAGATATTCAACTCAAACCATAGATATAATCGTACTTCTCGGCTGATCACTTTAAAAAACTAGCATAAATTTAATCGAACCCTTAAACGACCTCTGGGCTGATCTAAGTCAGGGCATTGGCTAACTCAGAGATCGAAACCTTAAACAACCTCAGGGCTGATCTAAGTCAGGGAATGGCTAACTCACAGATAGAACCCTGAAACAATCTCTGGGCTGTCTAAGTCAGGGCATGGCTAACTCACGAATCAAACCCTGAAACAACCTCTGGGCTGATCTAAGTCAGGGCACGGCTGACTCACAGATTGAACCCTAAAACAACCTCTGGACTGATCTACTTACGGCGAATATTCATATATTGAATTGGAATTTAGCTTTGTGCGTTTTGCGGATTGTGGTATTTACCACCGACGCTAGAAATTCCATCATTTGTGCTTGATTTTTTTGCGTAAACAACAGACGTGCGGAAAGCGAAAAGTTCAAATATTTCAACTCGTTTTTTGCACTTTTTTGAAAACTGTATACGGCTCGTACTGATAGACATGAAAAATGCTGCATTTTCCCCCAGCAACAAATATCCTATGCATGTGTCGTGTATTGCGATATTCAAGTTACGTCAATCGATATTAATAAATATATGTCRAAACAAAAGAACCATCGAATCAAATCATTCATATAGGCTTACATAGAAAAKACCTTTCTTTGGAAATCGTTGCTAAAGTAATTGCCATAAGCTCTAGACAAAAGCCGAGCYGATTCGTATTGTTTTACTTGATTAAAAAGTAATCTTACGGCGTTTATTTTCTCACGTAATGTCTCTGGCACCCAGGGTATGTCTTCATATCTTAGTAATAACAACTTCTATCTTAAGCGTCGCATCTTTTATAGTCTTTAATCAGTTKTGAAGGCCGATAAGAAATCTAATTTAAACTTAGTGAGATGGAMCTAAGGACTTTATATTATATCTTATTGACAATTTCGAGTAAACGAMCAACGAACACGGAAGATATTTTCTTCGATTTACTCGTTTCTGGTTCAGAGTATTTGTAGTTATTTCTAAAAGATTGTCCTGGAATTACTGAAAATTGTATAGTGAATTGTAGTTCGAGTCATCGCAATAAATTAGAAAGAGAGTCTAGCTTAGAAGTTAAAACCACGTTCATTCAACATGTTTTATCTATTGTAGGCAATAAATCTCTTTTTGTAGWAATACAGAATACTTTTCTTTACTYTTGYCACACTATGARGTATTCARTTTTCACAGGAAAACCAGTTTTTKGAAGATAAAATGTATCTTWATTATCTAGTCCCTGGCTTTATCTTTGGTATTAACAAAGCTTCCAATGCTGTTTTGTCYTATCATTGTAATGTTTGATTTAATAGTTAGACGCTGTGTCTAGTTASAAGATAAGAAAATCCGGTAACAAATGACGGTGCTCCTTTGTCTTATCCATTCATAAGCAGTGAAACTAAACGATTCAAGATGTTCGTGTTTTGTAGCTATCGGCTGTTCCACTCGGAAAACCACACACGTGTAAGAGAGACCGAAAACGCTCAACCAATTTTCCCGGAGCCTCGGGTACCCTTGTGAAGGCTTGCGGATCGTTCGTCAAAWTTCGGGGAGATTCAAAAGACCTCGGAGAGCCTCGTAAAATGCACATCTACTAAACTGCTTGTGCACTATAGAATGGTTATCGTATAAGTGGGAAACATACGGTACTGACTTCAGCACTTCACGGTACGACTACCTAACATCGAAATGGCTTCCCATAAGAATAGTTATCATTTGAGTGGGAAACATACGACACTGACTTACAGCATGTACACGGTACGACATGCCATAACATTGAAATGGTTTCCCATAAGAATGGTTATAATATGAGTGGGAAACGTACGGTACTGACTTACAGCATGTACACGGTACAACATGTCGTCACACTGAAATGGTTCCCCATAATAATGGTTATCATATGAGTGGGAAACATACGACACGACTTACAGCACTTAACATTAAAATGGCTTCCCATATGAATGGTTATCGTATGAGTGGGAAACGTATGGTACTGACTTACAGCATGTACATGGTACAACATGCCGTAACATTGAAATGGCTTTCCATTGCCTTCCAGTAATTTATCCAATCACAACGCGTAGTTACTGTAGGGCTATACAGTACGGTCATAGGTGAACTACTAACTATGGAACGGCTACTTGAAAAATCGTTTCCAGCTCATACCGAAAACAGCTCTAAAAAAAAACTAGCGTGTAACGACGTAAATTTGAGTCAACAAAGCAAGCCAAACCGTGTGAGTTAATTTTTATAATTTAACTKTACTATAATTCCTTTTCAGTTAGAAGTGGGGCGTTATGAGCAGGGCCTCCCAGATAAGGCTCGAGTTGGTCCGTGGCAGAAGACCATCTCAGACCCAATAGAAGAGTCCCTGAAGAACCAGACAAAGGCCCTTCTTCTGATGGAATTGATATCCATGGAGCTGTTTTATGGKATGGAGGACTTGCTACGTGATGGTGGGGGTGCTGGTGTCAACAAACAAGTGACCRCTGAGAAACTATACACACTTACGGATAGAGAGCTGTTGCTTCACAGTGCGGAGACATTACTCGAGGTAGGACGGAATTAAGAAGGCTACTATAATCTATCTATCCTTGGGTTTAGGGGGGGAGGGGGTCAGTCGGAGAAGGTATTTTATCATATGACCCGTACGGCCCTGCTCGCGTACTTTAATAAAACCAGTTTGGAAAACGTCACCCTGTGGGGACCGCACGGGTTGACGTGAGTGGGCCGGAAAAACTCGTTCTCCTCTTTGACGCGCGCTGTATTTATCAATTTTAGAAGGAAAATTGGGTCGTATCAAATAAAATGACTGTTTTAGGTCTGGCCGGATGGGAAGATATCTTGATCATTTGTACGCGCTCGGTTCGTACGGCATGACCTCGAGCCAACTCATTCAATAAGTACATAAAATGAGGGATAAGCGCACTAAGCGATAAAGCGCACTAAGTAGTTTAAAAAACTAGATAAATGGACTTGGATTATCCGGCATCCTTGTTTATGCCCGCGTAAAGACATCCAGAAGTGTTGAAATAGAATCTACGCCACTCACTATATCATCTCAGTCAGATACTCTTTCCTTAAGTAGTTTTATTCAAACATCTTGTACTCATTAATTATTCATGAGCTCATCGACCAACCAGGGTTTCTTATTTGTACCACGTGCAGTAGTTTGAAACCCCCATCAAATACGACCGCACCCATTTCAAAGTCCTAGTACTTTGAAATATTTCAAAGTACTAGAATTTTGAAATAAAAACCAACATAACAAAAAGAGTATAAGATGTCGTGTCAAATACTCGTCTCGGCATTTGAAATTCCACTCGGATTTTGAAACCCCAATAGAATACAGTAACTCGTATTTGAAACACTACTTCAAACACAAAATCTATGAAATTCTGAACCAACAAACGTTTGTTACAACGCTAGAATTGTGATATTTCCAACTTCGTCCAGGAAATCTAATGAGCTACGTGTTTATTTTTCAGCTTACAGAATATTTCTTCACCAAGAGTATGCCTTGTCCAATCAGCAGTACCATTGCCAATGGACAGGAAACTT